GGGGGTGGGAGGATGGGTTAGCCTGGTGATGGGTATTGGGGAGGGCACGTTCTGCATGGAGCACTGGATGTTATGCACAAACAATGAATCATGGTACACTACATCAAAAACTAATGATGTAATGTATGGTGATTAACATAACAATAAAAATTTAAAAAAAAAACCATGTTACGTTCTTAGAATCTGTAATGTATTTGAGGGAAATAACCAAAAGCCTTGTGTGAGCCTGGACAGCTCTTCTCTTATCCCCTCATCCATTCAATCCTCCATACTTACCAACTTTAACTCCTGACACACAACAAAACAAACACGACTCTTATATCCACTTCTCATTTCATCTCATTTCATTTCAACACCTGTTTTAGCCTCCATTATTTCTCACCTGGGCTGTGACCACAGCTTCCCAACTGGTCCTACACCATCCCTCACACTCCCGCCAGAAGGGAAGCTCTATGGAAACTGGGACATGGGTAACCCTAGGAACTGGTCTGGTGCCCGGCAGGTGTTTGATAAATATTTGTTGAGTGACTGTATGAATAAATGATGCTCTCCCTTTCTTTAGTCTTGTTTTCCTCTAATTCATCCTCCATGCCGTAACCAGAGTTATATGGAGAGACAAATCTGGTCTTGTCGCCTCCCCCCCTTCCTTAACCATCCTCAGTGGCCTCCTTTTACAGACCCTACAGGACCCTACATGATCTGCCCCTGGCTACCTTCTCGGCCGCCTGCCCATCCGCATCTCATGTGTGCCCTGGCCAGCAAGACTACACACTTCTATTGTCCATTGGGTCCTGCTCTCTCAGATGCTTCCTTCTCCATCTAGAAACCACCAATTTTTCAGCCTCCACTCAAGGGCACTTTCTCTCAGAAATATTTCCTCACCATACCACCAACCTAGGTCCTCTCTCAAGTCCCAAGACCCCCTGACCACACTCTAGCATTTAACTTACCCTCATTACTCTTACTGCTTCCTGGGGTTGTTTCGCTCTTTTTCCTCCACTAAATCGTTGAGGCTACATCTCACTCGTTTCTTCATCCCCAAAGCCTAGCACAGTGCCTGGCACCCAGGGGGCATCTGATACACGTTTTATAAATGAGTACATGAATGGCTGCAACAACCATGTGATCTCTGGCCCTAGAGTCTTCCATTTAGACCCTGAGAGCTGACTTCCACCTACACGGCAGACCTATCTCCCTGATCGAAAGCAAACCTCGGTGTCTCCTGTCCCCACCCTCTCCTCTCCTCTGCTCCCGTTCCTGTAGTGCCCATCTCAGGTAACAACTACCATGTCCTCTGCCTTCTAGACTTACAGCTTTGTCATTCCGACCTCTCTCGATGCCCTCTCCATCCCCAGACACAGCCTTGGCTGACCTTCCCCAGCACCACCAGCACCGCCTGCTCCAGTATCTTGCCTTCGCCTAATACTGAGCTGCTTATCATGCTGGCACTATGCAAAGAGCTTAAATATATTAGCTCACTTAACCCTCACCACAACCCCATTTTACGAATGAGGAAACAGGGAAGAGAGAGGCTAAGTAGCTTGTCCAAACCCACATGGCAAGTGGAGAGCCAGGTCTTCAAAGCAGGCGTTCTGGCTCCAGAGCCCCCACCCATCCATTGCCAGGCTCTCCTGCTACATTGTCTAGGTTAGTACAACATCCTTCTGCCTGGTCCCCCTGTCCTCGTGCTCTTCTCTCCCTCTATCCATCTTCCATGCTACCACCAGCTGTCTTACTTTTTTTTTTTTTTAAGATTTTATTTATTTGAGAGCGAGCGAGCGAGCACGAGCAGGGGGAAGGGGAGGGGCAGAGGAAGAGGGAGAAGCAGACTCCCCCCTGAGCAGGGAGACCAACATGGGGCTCCATCCCAGGACTTGGAGATCGTGACCTGATGCAAAGGCAGATGCTTAACCGACTGAACCACCCAGGCGTCCCACAGCTGTCTTACTTTTCAAAGCCAAACAAACAGTTAGCTGGCCACGTACTGGTCCTTGCCTGCCCCCACTATCCAAAAGTTCACCTAATGCCACTTTGTTTTTATGAAAGACCTACGTCAGTACCTGTTTTCACTAACCGAAAGAAGTCAAAGAGGATTTTTGCTTTTTACGAAATGGTAACCTCTTCTTTGCTTTACACCCCTTCAGCCTATGAAAGGTTTCATAGGATTGCTCTACTTTCCCATAGTGGGGGAAACCTATATTTTCCTATTTCAAAACCTCCATTATTAGCTCCCTATTACTGACAAACATTAGTTCAAACTTGGGCCCTTAAATCCTTTCTGAAACAAGGCAGAATATGAATGAATAAAAAAAATAATTGAATGTACAGTATCTGCAACTTCTTAGCTTACATGGAAGGCCATTGCTATGTGGATCCAGCATACCAGTCTCCAGCTCTCCCCGTCTCACACTCAGGACCCTCACCACCCCAAAACCCCCGTTCCTTGAACCATCAGCCTCATGCCTCCCTGTCTTTCCTCTTCTGGAACACCCTCTTTCCACAACATTTAGGCTGACGAATCTTCTCTTCCTTCAAAGCGAAGCTCGGATGTGCTCCCTTGAAGAGCCTCCCCCAACCCCCACGGAGGAAATCGCTGCAGCCTCTGTACCCCAGACTGAGCCACAGCATGTCCCAGGGCACAGCAACTTATCTATTTGCATTTTCGTGAGTTCTTCAAGGGCAGAAGCCGTGTCCTCCTCCACTCAGAGCCCCTAGCAACTAACCTCATGCCTGACATACGGCAGGTGTTTGTTGAACGAATGAATGAATGGACGGATGAAGCAAGTGGTACAGAAAGAACTTGGGAATGGTTACCAGGCAGCGTGCCCTCTACCAAAGTTACAGTTTAACTGGTCTTCCCAATTTTCTCCAGGATCTGACCTTGAAACTCACACACCTCCTTTAATACGGAACCAGACATCAGAAAATGATTGGCAGTAGTAGAATTTGGCTCCCTCTCTTCCTGCCATGGGCCTGCGAAGTCTGATCCTCTGAGAGGTTCTAACAAAATAATTAACTTTTAGAATAATTACTCCACAGCATCAGCATTTATTGAGGTCCATTATGAATATTCCAGGGACTGTGGCAGGCATTCGCACACACAATTTCACTTGATAATCCCAACTCAGTGAGATAAAGAGGGATGTATGCATTTAGCAGGCTGTATAGCTTCTCAGGGGCAGGAGTTAAGACTTACTGCAAAATATATAAAAGCCATAATGCCTAGAACAGATAGTCAACTGTTGTTTCAAAGCAACACTAGGCTAATTAAAAAACATCAAACGCCTACTCGTCACCTACCAGGTGCCAAATACTAACCAGAAGGTGTGTTAAGTTAGGCTGCAGAGAGGCTGTAGGGTATTTCATGCGGAGCACTGGACTGAGAATCAGGGGACATGGGTTTTAGATTCAATTCTGCCACTTACAAGTTACAAACACATCAAAATTTCTTTGAGCTTAGTCACTTCATCTGTTGAATGAGACAGTTGGACCCAAAGACCTCAAAGGCACCTTCCAGTTCTAATGTTCTATAATCCTATTGAGTCTGCCTGGCTGCTTAGTAGAAAAACATCTACCTCCAGCCGACTTGTACTGAAACAGAGGAGAATGTAAAAATACCAACAGTTACCAATCCCAGCAATTGTGCTTCCTTCCGTTACGTGTGAACCCTTGAATATTTACCTGTTCTTCTAATTGGAAGTTCTTTTCTAAAACCAGAAGCATGTGGTCCCGTAAGGCTGAATGCTCATGCTCCTGCAGGTTCCCCCGTTTATCCTTCAATAGGAAGACGAAAGGAAGTCAGGTTGTTGAAAGGCTCCAAAAATGAAGGTGGTGGTGGGATATTCTGCTAACGCAGACTGTGACAACTTTGCTTACTTGTCTAAAGGTGGGTTGCAGGAAAAAATAGCCCCTCCTGGTCCCTTTTCCAGCTCCAGGATTCTAAGGTGCCCATGAGACAATTTTAAATTTACAGAAACAGAGAATCAAGCCACTGTCAAAATTCTCAAAAGCAGATTTCCTTCTGTGTGCTGGAAATCTAGGACTGTGGGTTAAGTGTAGTTATCATCTCTCAACTAGTCCCACATAAAATCTATCTCCTTGGTGGGTTAGCTTCAGATCAGTGTCAAGCCTAGGTGAGTTCTCTCTCCTACCAAGCACACATTTCCATGCTGCCTTCTACCAAAGGCCAAAGGTACGCAACCTGATAGTAATTTCAGCCCACACAAATTTGTTGCCCTCAAAATCAAGCAATATGTTTGCAAGAATAAAGGGTAACTTCTTCCCTAATCATTAAAATACTGAATTGCAAACTGCCTCTATTACTAGTAAAAGCAAATGTTAGGTGTTCTGGGTGATTCCATGGACCTAAGTGTGCATTAACCATCAATTTCCCTCCAGTTTAGGAATGGCCCCTCTTCCAGAGAACAAATCTCATCCTCAGCTTTGGTACTGAGGTGAGTTCTAGAGGACAGCCCAAATGGGAGTTTAGGCCTAATTGTAAAGAAGATTTCTCTCAGAGCTGGAAAGCAATTCTGTATTTCGTGCACTGAAAAGGTAAACCCTATCTGTTTTGCAGCCAAGACAATCACTGGTTTGATATATGAAAATGTATGGACTCTTCACTGATTTTTTTTTTTTTAGATTTTATTTATTTATTTGAGAGAGAGAGCACATGAGAGGGGGGAGGGTCAGAGGGAGAAGCAGACTCCCTGCCGAGCAGGGAGCCCCATGCGGGACTCAATCCAGGCACTCCAGGATCATGACCTGAGCCGAAGGCAGTCGCTTAACCAACTGAGCCACCCAGGCACCCTCTTCACTAATTTTTTTTAAAAAGGCTTCTCCCAATATACATTTTCTTCCAATAGGTTTTTAAAATAAGAGAAATGTATGCTTATGTCAAATAATACAGCAAGATAGAGAATGAAAAGCAAAAGGCTCCTTCTCTCCATCACCACCCCCAATTCCCTAGTCTCTCACTCACCAGAGTCAGCGACGATATATACACATTTTTAACTCAATGAGATCATAACCATATTCAATTTTTTAAAATATGTACCTTATTCTTTTATCAAATGCATGCCATTCCCAAATACAAATATATACACTTACATAGTCAGCACTTTAGTGATGGGCTTACAGGTTTTTAGTTTTTTGTTTTCTTTTGCTATATAAACATCTTTGTGTGAGTGTGTTTGTGTATGTGTGTAATCATTGCATACTTATGAAAGAGTATCTATGAGAAATTCCTAGCAATAGAATTATAAGGTCAATGTGTGGGTTCACTTTTTTTTTTTAAATAAAGAACCTTTTATTTTACTTAATTTTTTAAAACACTAAGCTGTATGCCCAACATGGGGCTTGAACTCACAACCCTGAGATCAAGATCTGACTGAGCCAGCCAAGCACCCCTCAACTTTTCATAGATAATAACCAAACTGCCCTCATAAAAAGTTATATATTATAAATTGTATTAATCTTTGTCAATTTGATGGTGAAAGTTTTATTTCTTGCTATAATTTACATTTATTTAGGAGTGAGATGGAGTGTCTTTTTTTTACATCTATTAGTCAATTGAATTTTTTCTGGAACTACTCATATATTCCTTTGCCGATTTTTCTATTAAGTTGGAGAAGCTATTTACATGTAACAATTTTTGTATATTAAGGAAAATACCCTTTTTGTCTTGTCATATGTTGGAGATATTTACTTCCAGTTTGTGGCTTGCCATTTGACTTTATTTATGGTATTTTAAAAAATTGTATAAAAGTTTCAAATATTTATGGTTAAACATCAAAATTATAGCTTCTGGTTTTGTGTTAGTCATCTAAGAAAGATCTTTACTTCAAGAATAAAAAAAATTCACTCACCTTTTCTTCTAGTATTTTTATGATTTTTTAAAATAAACTTTTTATTTGGAGTAATTTTAGATGTACACAAAGTGTGAAATAATATAGTGCATGATATATCTTAATGCCTAAAACTTTGATCCATCTGGAATATGTTAAAATGAGGTAGGAATCAAACTTTTTTTTAAATTTATTTTATACAATTTATTGAATAATATTTTTAAAGGTCTTTAATAGGTAATAAAATACACTTTAAAACATGATTTCAAATCAATTCTATTTCAGAATACTTGGTGATAGACCGGGGGTACCAGAAAACCAAGATTTATAATCATCAGAATTATAATCATCAGAAGAATGACTCCAGAAAGTCTCAAACTCTGGTAGAGGCAATGGAATCCAAATTAGAAAAATTACCATGATGGTTAATTTTTATGTGTCAGCTTGGCTGGCTATGGTGCCCAGTTGTTTGGTCAAAACTAATCTAAGGGGCACCTGGGTGGCTCAGTCGGTTGAGCGGCTGCCTTCAGCTCAGGTCATGATCCCTGGGTCCTGGGATCAAGCCCCACATCAGGCTCCCTGCTCAGTGGGGAGCCTGCTTCTCCCTCTCCCACTCCCCCTGCTTGTGTTCCCTCTCTCACTGTCTCTCTCTGTCAAATAAATAAATAAAAATATATAAAAAACCCAAACAATCTAGATGTTACCATGAAGGTATTTTGTAGATGTGATAAACATTTACGATCAGTTGACTTTAAGTAAAGCAGATTACTCCCCATAATGCTGTAGGGCCACATTCAACCAGTTGAAGGCCTTATGAGCAAAAAATAAGGTCTCCTGAAGAAGAAGCACTTCTCCTCAAGACTATCAGTAGAAACTCCAGCCTACTGGTCTGCCCTGCAAATAATCTGACTTGCCAGCCCCCTCAATCATATAAGCTAATTTCTTAAAATAAATTTCTATCTATATATCTATATGTAGATATGTACCTCCTATTGATTCTGCCTCTCTGGAGAACCCTGACTAATATAGTGTATATAGTGTATTTAGTGTATAGTGTATATAGTGTATTTATATACACTGCCAGTCTTAAAGTTCTTCCAAAGTGAATGTCCTTCTGCATCCTGAATGGAATCAAAGAGTAAAATAAACCTGCCAAATAAATTACACAGTAGAATGTAGAGGCAGAAACAAAAAGGCATCCCATACCTTTACAGTACATCCATAGTGCTTAAAAGGACAGTCTCGTTCAGCTTCAGGACACACAGCGAGGTGTTCATCCACCTACAAAAGGGACACCTCATGCTACCGAAATTCATCACCAATTCTCCAGCTGCCTGAGAGAACTACAGCATGCAGGGAACCCCAAGGTGGCCTGGGAAGGAGGGAGGAAACAGAAGGGGAAAAGCCACGCTGAGGCCTGGCGGAGGGAGAGCTACGGTATAAATGGAGAACTCTCAGGGAAAAGGGAAGGGGACACAGAGACGTGGTTATCATGGGTGTGCTTTAAATCTTGGGCCTCAGCCTGTGGGATTTGATCAAACACACACCACAGTGGTTAACTAAAACTTTATCTTACATAAAATCTACTAAGAGATTCATTTACAGTTACCTCAGTTCTTGGAATAATCTGCAAACACCTGTTAGGACAAGATACTGGGTACTCAGGACACAAGTTTTCTTCATGATTCTGAAACAGAGAAAGGATGATGAAACACAGCCAATCCTTGCTTCCCAGGGTTCCCTTCTACAGCCTCAGAGTGTTTATGCATATGTCTCTGGGGATCTTATGTGGCTTACCCTCTACAGGAAGGTACAGCCTAGTTCCAAAAAGGACTAAAGATGGCCGCCTCCTTCCCATGAATTCAATTCAGTTTTCCAATTATTCCAAAAGAAGGTCAGAGGGCAGAGGACTCACGGAGGGCAGACTATGGGAGTCATCAGTATGTCTCCTTCAGTACATGTAAAAGGTACCCATGATCTCCTTCTCTGCCTACATCCTGCCACTCCAGTCAGATCAGAGCCCCCTGAGGACATAGTATCGTCACCTCCTTGTGACCCTGCACCCAGCAGCGCTCCTTGCACACTCACACTCAGTAGTGCTCAAACAATCCTTCTGCCAATGATAAATGAGTAGAGTCCTACTCTAGAGTCCACCAAGAAGACTTTTTGCTTTTTACAGAACTCTCAGAAAATTCTTTAGACCTATTTCTGTACAAAAATAAATTCAGTAATGTCCCGATTCACTGTGACCGCTCAGGTAGAATTTAGTCCCATAAAGACGATTCGTTTTTCTTTCTTTTTACCTGTAGATAGATTACTACCACATCTTTTTTGCAATAAAGGCATTTTTCCTCTCGAAAATGGCAATGTGCACTCAAATGTTCTTTCAGATCTTTCCGAAGGACTTGTTCCTGACAGTTCTCATTAGAACACTGCACAGCTTGAAATAGGCACTGTTGGAGGTGGTCCTGCAACAGAAAAAACAGGCCAGTGGGCCGCACTGACCGGGGCGGGGGGACAGGGGGCCAGCTGGAAGCCTGGAGGGAGGGAGGACACGGGGGGCAGCTGGGCAGACCAAGGCCGTGCCAGCCTTGTTTGATAGGAGTTGGGAGGATAGGGAAGATGGCTGGAGAAGGAAGCATGTTGAGTCTACTTCAGATTATCTATTAGCTCAGATTCTCAGGTTAGTTCCTGAATATTTTCCTTAGGCTTGCTGAGTGATTTACCCATTCTCCAAAGACATTTTTAATTTCTTTTTGCACCCCCGGCACCAAGTACTAATCTCTGCACAGCGGATGGCAAAAGCCAGGATGGAGGGGAAAGACGGAAGAAGAGCAGGGCATGTCCTAAGTGCAGGAAGGAAGGGAAAGGATGCAAGAGAGTAATGGGGAGAGGGAGTGGGAGCTGTTCCAGAAGTGGTCAAGAAAAGCAGACAGAAGAAATACAGGATCCCAGGCCCAAGAGAAGCTGGGAATGGTCAGGCTGTGGTCAGAAAATGTTCTCCACCAGAATATGAGATAACGATGACATGGACATTACTCGTTCCAGTATTCTTCATGGTAGAGATTTTTTTAAAGCAGGAGGCATACCTTAATAAAACCTCTGGATCACAGCAAGTTATTGTGATGGTCCTGTCCCCTGCGAGATCTCCTAAAACACAGCTGGCCTGTTACTTGTTTTTGTAAATAAGGTTTTTCTGGAGAACAGCCACCCATCTACTTGTTTACATAC